TAGAGNTNNANAGANTACAAACTACAAATCTCATNACCTTCAGTTAAAAAATTTCAATTTCGAGCTAAAAATCGTCAATGACAAAAAAGTTTCTTACCGATTCAACTTCTTCATCTCCGCCTTCCAGTTATTCTTGTCCACATAGTATTGCTCGACGCCAGCTGTGCTTAGCGGGCTGAAAAATTATTTTTTTACTTAAAAATCCATATTTCCAAGTCCGGATGTCCAAAACTCCCCAAAACCTACGCGATTACATCCTCTTCCAGCCGATACTCCTCGCCGAAAACCTTGAATTCTGTCAGTGGGTGTGGTGGAGGAGGGGCGGAGCCATTATCGATCCGATCACTAGTGTAGGCTGACGCGTATTCCGGAGGGTTCGGGAAGGGGCTGACTGTTTGTGTGGCGCCGAAACCGGGAAGCATCTCGATTTTCAGCTGAAATTGAAAAAAATGGGCGAAAAATGTCAAAAACAGCTGAAAATCGCTGAAAAATGAGGGAATTTGGGTAGAGAAAAACGTGAGTGCGGCGGAGCGCACTTGCACTTGTTTTCTTGTTTTCGCTCGATTTTTTCACCTTTTTTCCCCATTTTGCAGCCGCTTATTATGCATTATTTGTGGCTTTCTATGTCGGAAAAAAAATAAATTTGCATATGAAAAATGGGATGAAAGCAACAATTTTATCAGTCAATACAGTTTTTTCTTTCTTTTTTGTCACTTTTTTTTGATAGAAATTCGATTTTCAGACAGAAAATAGGTTCAAAACAACGATTTGTCAATGAAAAATCCCAAAAAAAAATTTTTAAAAAGACAAAAATGTAAAAATTGTACTTCGCAGTGAACACAATTTACAAAAACTGACCATGCGCCTTTAAGTTACGGTACTTGAAATTTTAATAATTTTCAGCTATTTTTCACTGATTTTTAGCTAATTTTAGCTCTGAAAAAACTCTCAAAAACTCAGATGACGGAAATTCAATTTAAAAAAAATTTTTTAACAAGTTTTGTTACAGCAATGTTGCCAACCATAAATTCAAAGAAATATGCATAAAAAAGATTTCGTGGTGAGACGCAACAAAAAATTTCTGACCATGCGTCTTTGAACTACGGTGCTTAGAATTTAAAGCTTTTTCGGTCTTTTTTTCAGATTTATAGCTAAGATTTCTTTTTTAAAAAGCATAAAATAACAAAATAGTAGGTGTTCACAACAAAAATTGTCAAAAAAAATCCGAAAAAATAGGCAAAAATGTAAAAATTGTGCAATTCGTGCTGAAACCAAATTGACAATTTTTGATTATGCGCCTTTAAATTACGGTACCTAACAGAATAATATTTATTTTTATCGAATTTCAGCGGAAAAAGATGTATGACGAGGCACTTCTCGACCATTTTGTTCAGCTAAAAATCAGCGAGAGTCATTTATTGGATGATAAAGTGATAACATGCGCAAAAGGAGATCAAAAATATGTGGAAAACGTTGCGCACCGGCAAGAAGAAGACTTTCCGGAGCATATTATTGGATGTAAAGATTTCCCAAGGGATAAGGTTGAAAATAAGCAAAAAATAGAGATAAATAAGGGGTATTTTTGTTCAGAAAATCGTCAGCGTCACATCTAGAAACGTTTTGAAGATTCGAAAATCGAAAAATCTGGAATTAGAGGAACAAATCCAGTGTGACTACTCAGCGACCTCGTGAGCCTAGAATTTCCGATTTTTCAGACTAATTTTTTCCAGTATTTGCTCTCTTATCCTCGGCGAAACCCTCGAATCCATCCGAATCTTCTTCGGAAGTGTCGTTGGAGAATTAATCGATTGGCAGCCGGGAAAAGAGGATAAGCCTGTGATGAGAAAAGGGCACAAAGGCATGATTTTCTCGATTGTGGCGGATTCCAAGAGGATTTTCACCATTTCCGATGATCGCACCATTCGGATGTGGGCCATTTCGGATAGAGGGGGATCTTTTTGGTGGGTGTGGATTGCTATTTTTGCTTGAAAAAGCGCTGAAAACGGCTGAGAATGCTGGTTTTTGTGATTTTTCGAAGCCTGGCCAAAGCCTATCCTAATAGAGCAGCACTTTAAAGTTTTACTGAGGTTTAGAAACTACAAACTACAAAATTTCATAAACCTCAGTAAAAGACTTGAAATTCGACAAGTTTTGAGCTAAAAATCGTCAAAAACGGGATAAAATGAGTCAAGTTACAGCGATTTCAAACTTTTCTGAGGCTTAGAAACTTTTGTAGTTTGTAGTCTAAGCCTCAGTAAAAAACTTCAAAGCGCTGTAAATGGGCTCAATTTTATCCGTTTTTAATGATTCTTGGCTCAAAAGTTTTGTCATTTTTTGTAGTTACTTAGTAAACTACAAACTACAAAAACTACAAAAAAAATTCGAGTCAAAAATCGGCGATTTCATATTTTTTTTTCTTTTTAGACTATTTCTGAACGTTTTTGACCCAAATTACTGTAGATTACTGTACACTGTACAGTAATCTACAGTAATCCTCAGTCAAAAAATTCGGAAACATCGAAAAATAATCGCCAAAAATAGCTGAAAAACCTAGAAAATACCTATTTTGGGACATTTTAAGTTTTAAAAAAATCAATTTTTAGTGTTTTTTCTTCCAGCACTGCCTTCGGCCACACCGCCCGTCCCTTCACAATTTGCCTGGATCCGGATAGCCAGCTGATCTACACGGGCGGTATCGAACAAACTGTGTACTGTTGGAAATACACTGATCGAGAGATCAAATTGACAAGAAAGACACCGTTATCAGCTGGTGTCATTCGAAAAATCACACTTTTCAACGGGCGAACACTGGCGATTAGCTGCCAGAATGGAGATATTCTGAAAATCCACGTGGATTGTGGAGGTGTCCCTGATTGGAAGGTTCTGAAGGCAGGGATTGTGAATTTCAAGGTGTTGAATTGCGGATTGGTGACACTCAATACCAGGGAGTGAGTTTATAGGGGGAAAATTCTAGAAAGTTCTAGAAAAAGTTGAAGAAAATCTGAAAAAAATCAATAAAAAATCAATCTTTTTTTGTCAGAATTTTCTTCATTTTTTCTAATAATTTTTTATTTACTAAGGCTTATGAAATTTTGTAGTTTGTAGTTTAGGAAATTTGACAAACTTTGAGCTAAAAATCACTGAAACCGGATGAAAACTAGCTGAATTACAGTGATTTGAAATTTTTTACTGAGGCTTAGGAAATCTTGTAGTTTGTAGCCTTAGCCTCAGTATAACTTCAAATCGCTGCAAGCCCTCTTATTTTTATCCGTTTTTGACGATTTTTAGCTCAAAATTTGTGAAATTTTCCAAAAATTTTGCCACTACAAACTACAAAATTCGCTAAGCCTCAGTAAAAATATGGAATCGCTACATTTCGTCCCATTCTCCACTGCTGTTTCGACGATTTTGATTCAAAATTTTTCGTAGTTTCTGTAGTTTGTAGTCTGCTCAGGAACTAAAAATTACAAAACTTATGAACCAAGGATCATTAAAAACGGATGAATTTGAAGTTTTCCTGAGGCTAAGTGACTACAAACTACAAAAGTCTCTAAGCCCCATGAAAATTGGAAATCGCTGTAACTTGGCTCATTTTACCCCGATTTTGACGATTTTCAGCTCGAAATTTGTCGAATTTGAAGTTTTCTACTGAGGCTTAGGAGTTTTTGTAGTTTGTAGTTTCTAAGCCTCAGTAGAAATTTGAAGTGCTCTAGCTCGGCTGATTTGCAGCTGTTTTCGGTGATTTTTAGCTCAAGATTTTTCAAATTCCCAAGACTACAAACTACAAAATTCGCTAAGCCTCAGTAAAAATTTGAAAATTTTGAAAAAAAAGGGAAAAATTGTGAAGGATTTTTTTCAATTTTTTTTTTCAGACTTTTCAAAGATTTTAAATGAAAAATTTGACAAAAATCTATTAAAATGCTTCAAAAATCCCAAAATTTCTCTTTTCAGCGAGCTGAAAATCTACACGAACACCGGAATGTTCAAGCTAATGTGTCGTGTTGGCAACATCAAACACATGTCGTCGTCATCTGAATCGCTTGTCGCGTGGCACGAGAAACAACTGATAGTAGTGTCTGATATACTGTTCTACGAGTGTGATATGACTCCAGGACCCGCCCCACCTTTGGAAGAACAACGGAAAGTCAGGAAGCCCCATGTTTTAGGCTCAAGCTGTCAATGAATATCATTACGGCGCTCTGCTGGGACAATTTGGTGCTGATAAAGACTGTGGACGGGTCTTTTGTGAGTTAACCTTAAGCCTAAGTCTACTCTATTAGAGGATAACCTAATCTAATAGAGTTGGTCTTATCTAGATTACTGTAACAAGGCCTAAGCCTATCCTAATAGAGCATATCCTAGTCTAATAGATCAGAACCTAGTATATTACAGTTGGTTTCATCTAAGCTACCGTAACCTCGCCTAAGCCTATCCTATTAGAGCATATCCCAGTCTAATGGAACATAACCTATTCTAATAGATTGGAACCTAGTCTAATAGACTTGGTCTTATCTAGATTACCGTAACAAGGTCTAAGCCTGCCCTAATAGAGTATAACCTAGTCTAATAGATTGGAACCTAGTCTAATAGAGTCGGTTATACCTAAGCTACCGTAACCTAACCTAAACCTAGCCTAATAGAACATTATCTACACTATTAAAGCATAATAGAGCCTGGAATAACATAAGCCAGTTACTAGTTATGTCCAGTTAGGCTTACTTGAATCTATCCACCTAGCTATCTGGGTTGGTCTAGGCTACAGTAACCTGCCCCTGAGGGTTTTTGAATTTTCAAAAATTTCCAGGCTGTCTACGAGTATCTGGACGCTGATTCCTGGCAATGCTTGAAACGTTTCACACCGGAAAACCCATCAATCATGCCTTCCTGCTTTGCAAAGTCCAAAAATTACATTTACATGGGAACCACGCACGGAGAGCTGTATTATACCTATTTGGAGGATCATAAAAACGATCAGATGGAGTTGGCATTGACGGTACAGTAGGCTACAGCAACCAAATAATGATTTTATTCAGAAAAAAGAGTGCTGGGACCTATTCGGAGGCAAGGAGGTCACCTGCATCTATCCCCTAAAACTATGCAAACCGAAATTCATGACACTTGGAAAGACGGGAGTCTGGGCTACGGTAGCTGTGCACCGGGAGGGATGTCCTATTATGTACCCCACCAAGCCAGTGATTCACACATTCCGCATTCTGAATTCGAGAACGTTCTCGGCGGCGAGTCGTGTCGCCTGGCCCTGTCAATTTATTGATCGGAAGGGGAATGGAGGGATCGAGGAGAGACTGATTGTTGGGTTCTATGGGGTAAGAAGAATCTCGAAATTCCAAGTTTTCTAGGCCATTTATAAGTGGTGGCCGAGAAAACCAAATTTGCGAAAGTTAGGCCATCACTTAGAAATGACCTAGAAAAAGCGAGAAAACAGTGTCAGCAACCCTCCGAAATTCCGCATTTTTCGAAGAATGTTGAAGCATTTTTGACCCCAAAATGCCCCTTTTTCCAGAAAATTCAAAATCATTCAATTGCGATAAAAATTGATATTACGAGCTGAAATGGACTGAAAATCAGAATACCGAAAAAAAATTCTGAAAAAGTCAAAATTTGAAAAAAAATTTTTTTTGGGATTTTCCGAAAAATTTTTTTTCCAATTTTCGACTTTTTTGAAATTTATTTTTGATATTCGTATTTTCAGGTCATTTCAGCTCGTCATATCAATTTTTTCGCAATTGGACGATTTTGAATTTTTCGGAAAAAAAACATTTTCGAGCACTTGTAACTCAGCTCAATGTGGACCAAATTTGAAGAAAAGTATATTTTCAGAATGAGCGTTTTTTGAAAAATTGATGTTTTGAAAAAAAACACCGCCTTATTCTTTCCAGACCTCCATGATTATCTGGAATTCCACCACTGGCCTCCCAGTGTACGAAACCTACTGTGGAGGTGGCCACCGGGAATGGCAGTTGGAGCCATCTGAAGAGGATCCATCTATTCTAGACTTTCATTTCATTCGGGACAACGACCTGTGCCATCAGAGAATCGATTTGAACTCCAAAGAGTATGTTCTCAATACCGCCCATTCCTCATCCATCGTCGCGGCTTCTGGATCCACGGATCTCCTGGCTACAGTATCTCTAGATGGTCATTTGTCCATTTCAAATACCGATGGTCAATTGATCATTCCGATTTTCGTTGGAGAGAATCTTCTGTGTACTGATATGCGTACTGATAAGGGTGGACATTCTTATATCATTGCTGGAGGCGGGAAATCAAAGATATCGATTATCGATTTCAATCATTCGGAGCTCGAGAGCCATGGGGTATTCTCAATGCGTCATTTGTCGAGGCCAGAGGAGGGAAGAGTGGTCTCGGTGAAGACGTGGACGGAGGAAGATTCTGATCCCAGATTCGTGGTGTCTTATTCATCTGGAGTCTTGGAAGTGCTGGATTTCTCACTGAAATCGCTGGCGACTTTGGAATTGGAGGATTCACTGGGAATCGGAGCAAAAATCGATATTTATGATGAGGATACGCTGATTGTGGGCACCAGCGGAAGCTATGTGCTGACTTTTGAGCTTAAGGATGAGCAATTGAAGGAGACGGGGAGATTGGTAAGGGAGTGTGTGTGTGGGGGGGGGGGGTTGAATTTTGAATTTTTCCCAAAATTTCAAAATTGTTCAATTGCGATAAAAATCGATATCACGAGCTGAAATTGGCTGAAAATGAGAAAACCGAAAACAAATTTCGAAAAATTCAAAATTTGAAAAAAATTCACTTTTTTTTGAAAAATCCACAGAAAATTTTTTTTTTCCAAATTTTGAATTTTTCGAAAAAATTGTTTGGTATTCTTATTTTCAGCCCATTTCAGCTCGTGATATCGATTTTTATAGTAATTGGAAGATTTTGAATTTTTCGAAAAATGTTAAAATTTTCGGAAAAAAAAAGTTTCAATTTTCAATTTTTGTCCAGAAACTCTCGGATCGTAGTGGTGTCACCTCCATCGCCATGTCTTCCGATGCCATCTACGTTGGCTGTGATTCTGGCCACGTCTACAAGTGCCACGTGGCTTCTGAGTCCTCAGATTCTGAATCCGTAGCTAAAATCCAATCCCATCTGTCTACTGTAGTGGGAATCGTGGTCACTAAGGATACGGTACTTTCGATATCTCTGGATTGTGCGATTGTGAAGTCTGTGACGTCTTCTGAGTCCACAGTGGTCTCCTCCAGGAAGCCGACGATAATCGATATGCCAAACGGGATGGTGAAGATGGGAAAATCGAAAATAGTAGTCGTTGGAGACGGAATTCAGATTATTGATCATTTGATTTGAAATTTTTTTCTCATGTTTTACCGATTTTTTGTCATGTTTTGGGTCTTTTTTTTGTTGATTTTTCTAATGATACAATTTTAAATTTTTGGAAAAAAATCCAAAAAAATCAAAATTGTCTTGTTGATTTTTCTAATCAATTTTTGAGTTAATTTTAAATTTATATTAATTCTCTTTAGATTTTTTTAAATGATACAGAATCTCAAAAAAACAGGGCAGGGAAAACAACGAAAAAAAAGTGAATTATGAGGGAAAGGAATCTAACCAGTGTCTCGAAGAATGGGAATTTCAGGGGGTTGAGGGGATAAAAATAATGCGAAAAAATTGGGAAAATTTCAGAGATCATTTCAGAACAATTTGACTCGATTTTCTTGTAGGGGAGGGGGAGGGAAATTTAAATTTTTCAGAAAAAATTTAAAAAATTGGGTCGGGGGAAGGGGAGGAAAATACACGTAACGGCAAGGAAAAGCAATTCAAAGAGGAGGCGGGAGGAGGGAAAAGGCACCGATAATGGAGAGGGTTAAAATGGGTTAAAATTACAAAATTTGAAAAAAATTTTTGAAAATTTTCAAAAATTAAAAAAATTGTTTTTCTAAATTTTCAAAAAATTCGAAAAAAAGGGTTGAAAACGGAGGATAAAACTGGTTTTTACGCCTAAAAACTTATTTTCAGCTCGTTATCTCGAGTTGTCGTCAAATTCGGTGTCTGGTCCGCAAACACTCGGTGCCACGCGGTGTTCGCGGACCAAACACCAAATTTGACGACAAATCAAGCTAACTAGCTGGAAATTAGGCTCTTAGGGGTGAAAATGGCTCTAAAGATAGACTTTTTTGACTTTATAGTCTCTGGGCAGTGTATTCTGATTGATTGAGGTGACAATGGCGTTCTTATCCCGAGATGGGGTGTTGATTCCGGAGCCATGCTGGCTCATAGACATCGGATGGTGGGTGGCGTTCATTGACATCACCAGTGACGTGGCATCCATGCTCTGCAAAAATTTTGAAATTCGAAAAATCGGAAAATTCTGAAAATTTTTGAAAAAAAAATCGGAAAATTCTAAAAAAAAATTTTTTTCAGAATTCGAAAATTTTTGAATTTTTAAACGAATTCTTGTGTTTGTTGCCATTTTGAGTCGTCATATCATTTTTCATCAAAATTGGACAATTTTGAAATTTTTCGAAAAAAAAATCAGAAAATTCAAAAAAAAATTTTTCAACATTTCAAAAACGTTGCATTTTTCAACGAATTCTTGTGTTTTGTGCTGTTTCGGCTCGTCAATTCAATTTTCATCGGGATTGGGTGATTTTGAAATTTTTTTGAAAAACAAATCTGAAAATTCCAAAAAAAAAAAATTTTTTCAGAATTCGACTTTTTCGAAATTTTCTTTCAGATTCTTCATTTTCAAGTAGTTTCGGCTCGTCATATCAATTTTCAACAGATTTGGGTGACTTTGAAATTTTTTGAAAATGCGCTCTATTGAGAGTAATCCTACCTGCTTTGATTGCGGCACGAAACCATGATCCACCTTCGTCGCCGTCGTCAACGAATCGTGTCGTGTCAAACGCGCTCTACCGAAACTATCGTAATCCGAGCCGCTTGTCGAGCTTGCGGACCTATGGGGTTCGGAAGTGGCCGCCCATCGATTCACACGGATTCCGATCTGCAACATTTTGAATTTTGAAAAAAAAAAAAAATTTCTAAAAATTAAAATTTAAAAACTCACAAACGCTCCAATAATCAGGGAAATCAACGAAGCGACTGCTGCCACCAGGATTACTGTAATTGTCGAGTGCTCCTTGGCATAAACGTTTCGAGACACGGCTTCCGGTTGAGCACCATCACTATCACTGTCATCGAACACTTCCCGCACGATGATTCCCTCGGGACATTGCTCAGATTGGCCGAATACCATGTTCTGGAATTCGGAATTTTTTTGAAAATTTTTTTTGAAATTTTGAAATTTTCCAAAAAAATTCAAAATCGTCCCAAAAAATTTTGAAAAATACGAATTTTGCGAAAAATGTTTTTTTTGGGATTTTTCGAAAAATTTTTTTTCCAATTTTCGACTTTTTTGAACTTTTTTCTTGGTATTCTGATTTTCAGTTCAATTCAGCTCGTGATATTGATTTTTATCGCAATTGAACAATTTTGAATTTTTTGGAAAAAAAAATCCAATTTTTCTGGAATTTTTCCCGAAAAATTCAAAATTGTCCAATCGCGATAAAAATCGATATCACGAGATAAAATAAGCTGAAAACGAGAATACAAAAAAAAGTTTCAAAAAAGTCGAAAATTGAAAAAAAATTTTGGGATTTTTCGAAAAAATTTTTTTTTCAAAATTCCCGAATTTCCTGAATGTACTACCTGAATGTACTGATCTCCGGTCCACGATCCTCCGTGTACACATCTGGCAATACTGGAATCCCACGCACAGTGCGGGTCCTGTAGCTGCACACACTTTGAGCAACTGGTCTGCTGAACACAGTTGTGTACTGGCAACGACGCAATCTCATCAGATGACACTATCACCACATTCTCCTTCGTCGTGAGTAGATTCACCACTGGAACACCCCTTTGGAATACTGTAGCCGCTTGGATTACGGTAGCATTCCCATCCACCTCAACCACTTTCAACACCTTCCCATCTGATGTTCCAATGAACAGTATATCGTAGTTCTGACCGCCAACCGCCTTGACACGTGGCAATACAGTAATCTGAGTAAGATCCGCACGATCGGCGCCTTCAACTAGAAGAGGGGCGGAGACTGCTGGGATGGGACGATGGAGGAGGGGGTGGTGGAGGATGAAGGATACTGTATTCTCGGGAAGTTTCGTAGAGTCCGGGGTGCAGGAGCCGGGGCGGGGCTTGGGAACCTCGTTTCGATTGTAGGCCATCCACATTGATTGGGCGTTGTTCTGGAAGAGAAAAATTCTCGTTTTGAAAGAGTCTTTGCGCCTTTAAGGATCAACATTTTTGGTAAAATTGATATCACGAGCTGAAATGTGCTGAAAATAAGAAAACTAAAAAAAAAAATTAAAAAAGTCGAAAATTGAAAAAAAAACTTTTTTTTTCGAAAAATCCCAAAAAAATATATTTTTTCAATTTTCGACTTTTTCGAAAATTTTTTCGATTATTCTTATTTTCAGCTCATTTTAGCTCGTGAAATCAATTTTTACCGGAATTGAACAATTTTGAAAATTTGGGAAAAATTCCAAAAAAAATTTTCAAACTTTATTTTCCAGAAAATTTCAAATTCGCTCAATTCCGATGAAAATCGATATCACGATCTGAAATTGGCTAAAAATAAGAATAATCGAAAAAAAAATTCAAAAAGGTCGAAAATTGAAAAAAAAATTTTTCGAAAAATTCCAAAAAAAAAATTTTTCAATTTTCGACTTTTTCGAAAATTTTCTCGATTATTCTCATTTTCAGCCCAACTCAGCTCGTGATATCGATTTTTATCGCAATTGGACGGTTTTGAAAATTTTTTCCAAATTTTTTTCGAATTTTCGCACAAATTTTGCTGCAATAAAAAATGTAAAACTCAATAATCACCTGATGCTTGAAAGTGCCATTATCGAATTCCTCTCGAATCTTCTTCATTGAAAACTTGCACACCGCACTCATTCGGACGTCAGAGTCCGGCGTGGAGAAGACCGTGTAGACGACGTGATCGTTGTTTCCAGCGTCGATGGGGTCCGAGACGGCTTCTGGAAGATTTTAGAAGGCGTTTGAGGTTTTAGATATATTTTAGAAGGAATAAATCGTTTCAGAAGATCCCGAAAACTCACTAAGCTCATTAAAATAGAACGGAGACGATCCAGAAGGCAGTGAACAATTGAGCCGCGCCTTCAAATAGCTGGTCCATCGCTCGTTGGCCGGACGGGCGCCCCCTTTATCGTTCTTGCACACCCTGGCGACACGGGCATAGATCTGAAAGGGTCTCAATTGGTGGTTAGAGGGTCTCCGAGGGTCACTAGGTGCTTACCTGTGACTCCTCATTATTATCGATTGCCTCGCTGGCGATCTCTCGGAACCAAAAGTAGACGTGCTCTTTGTAGGCAAAGGTGGCGACGAAGTTGGGAGCTGAAATTGTAGACATTGTCAGAAAATTCAGAAAATTTTTTTTTAATCGGAAGGTCCCATACCGTAATCTAAAAAAATATTTCGAATTTTTTGAATTTTCCGAATTTTTTTCTTGACTAAAAATCTCTGAAAATCGAGATAATGAATCGAAAAAAAAAATAAAATTATTGAATAATTAATAAATTACATCCCTCTGTCCTAATGCCTGCAGGGGACGGTACCTCCCTTCTATTTGCTAAGTGCCTTTTCCACATGACGTAATCACTAATTACCCGCAATCAGTCTTCAATCACTTACCATTCAACACTCTCGCATCGTAACTTTGCGTTCGAATGTTCGCTGACGCTTTTGTTGCCGGTGTTTCGTCGATTGTCTTCCTGTAATTAGTTAATGGGGGTACTGTACTTGAGAATTTTGGTGGAGAGAATGCAAATTCATTAAAATGTATTTACTAATTGAGGTGCAAAGTACATAGGCAGTTTGAAAAAAAATTCCAGAAAAAATTTTTTTTTGAAATTTTTTTTCCCTAAAATTCAAAATTGCTCAATTTCGATAAAAATCGATACCACGAGCTGAAATGAGCTAAAAAATAAGAATACTCAAAAAAAAAAATTTCAAAAAAGTCGAAAATTGAGAAAAAATTTTTTTCGAAAAATCCCAAAAAAAAATTTTTCTCAATTTTCGACTTTTTTGAATTTTTTTTTCGGTATTCTCATTTTAAGCCAGTTTCAGCTCGTGATATCAATTTTTATCGGAATTGGACGATTTTGAATTTTTCGAAAAATAATTTTTTAAAAACTTTCTTTCTTGAATTTTTTCCCGAAAAATTCAAAATTGCTGAATTTCGATAAAAATCGATATCACGAGCTGAAATGTGCTTAAAATGAGAATGCCGAAAAAAAAATTTCCATAAAAGTCGAGAAGTGAAAAAAAAATTTTTTCGAAAAATCCCAAAAATTTTTTTTTCAAATTTCGACTTTTTTGATTTTTTTTTGAGTATTCTGATTTTCAGCCTATTTCAGCTCGTGGTATAGATTTTTATCGAAATTGGATGATTTTGAATTTTTGAAAAAAAAATTCAAAAAAAAAATTGTTTTTTTTTCGAATTTTTTCATTATTTTTATGTGAATTTTTCAGCTTAAAATTCGCATTTTTAAAACTATTTTCGGCGCTAAATTCAAAAATTAAAATGTCTACCTATAAATCAATGCATCATTCCCCACAAAATCAGTCACCGTCGCTGCGAACAACTGATTCGTTTGTGGAATATAGAGTGCACTGGAATTGTGCTTCGGATCATACGGCGAGATTCCTTGACCATCGAATTGCCGAGTATTCCGGATACCGTAATCCGTCACCGAGTACTCGCGACACTTTGGAGAGAAGGCGTGCGTCCCGCAGACCAGGGAGACGCCCGCTGATTTTCGTGCCAGGACCCGAATGTAGTTCTGACAGTCCGTTTTCGATTTTCCCTTCATTATACATTCTTCAATGTGCTCCGCCGGGGGTTTCCAGTCGATTTTCTGGAAAGAATATGGGGTACAGGGGAGCTTCTTGCTAAAAATTCAAATTTTTGGTTTTTCTGAAAATTAGTTTTTTGAATTTTCAAAAATTATATATTTTACAATTTTCTGAGAATTTTTCGAATTTTCTTTTTTAAATAAAATTTTCAGAAGAATCAATTTTTTTCTTAATTTTCCGGAAATTCAGTTTTTCACTATTTCTAAAAATTTTATTAAAATTCAATTTTTCAGAATTTGCCTGAAAATGCGATTTTTTCGTAATTTTAAGAAAATTATATTTTTGTATTTTCTTAAAATTCAAAATTTTCAAACTTCCAAAAAATTGAATTTTTCTAATTTTCGGAAAAATCCTGTTTTTTTTTCAACAATCAGTTTTCCACCTATTGAAATTTTCTAAAAATTCAATGTTGGAATTTTAGGGATGCTCAAATTTTTGGATTTTCAGAAAATTTCATTTTTTCGAATTTTCTGAAAAATCCATTTTTCTGAAAATTCAATTTTTTTTAGAATTTTCTGAGAATCCAATTATTAAAGAATTTTTAGAAAAATCCATTTTTTCGAAATTCCCGAAAATCAAATTCTTGGGTTTTCTGAAAATTCGATTTTTCAGAATTTCTTGAGATTCGATTTTTTCGAATTTTCTAAAAATTCGAATTTTTTGATAATTCGAAAAATTTTCAAAAAAATTCAAAAAAATGGAATTTTCTGAAAATCTTTTTTCTCGAATTTCCCTGAAAATCCCAATTTTCAGCTTAAAATCTATGATTTTTGAGCTTCCAGACGGCTCTGCCACGTGGGGCAAACTTACATGATTCACAGAAAGCGTCGAGAGCGAGAGATTGTAGACGGCGTTTCTGGAAAATTCCTTGTTTTTTTTCAAGAATTTCTGCTATCCTATCCAATTTCAACCCTCTAAACATCATGTTTTTTTTTCATTTTTTCCGAAATTTCCTCTAATTTCAACCCCCTAAAACTGAAAAAACCGTAGTAAAATCGGCACTAACGTAGTATCAAATTTTTTGAATTTGGTGCCAAAATGCGGGTGTCCCAGAGGAAGGGAAACAAGGCGATTATTCTGCCTGAGGTTATAATTTTGAAAAAAAATTGCAATTTTCACTGATTTTCGCCAATTTCTGCACTTTTTGGCTGAAATGTTTTTTTGAAAAATTTTAGTTTTTTGTCTCAAATTATAGGCTTATGTGTAAAAACGCCTTGTTTCCCTTCCTCTGGGACACCCGCATTTTGGCGCCAAATTCCAAAAATTAGCCCCCCCCCCCCCCCAAACTAAGCTAGCGCCGTTTCTCTCGTTGTTTTTTTTTCACAAAGAAAGAAATAGATCACTATCTATTTGGCAAAACTTTGTTTTTGTCCAAGTCTTAGTTTCGCTTCTGATGCTTATCATGTCCCCATTCAAAACCATTCAAAACCAGTCAGATCGCAATCGCGCTCTATTGACAACTACTCACCTGGCTCCCACTAATAGGGAATCTCCATCAGCGGCCAACAATTTGAAGTGATCGGATTCGTCGGAGCTCGTGCCGATGCCGCCGAAGCGATCGCCAATGCCAACTGCAAAAAACAAGAGAATTTGAAGGAGATAAAGCGCGCGAATTCAAATTTTTTCAGAGATTTTCAGGTTTTAAACCACTGAAAACCCTTTGAAAATAGGAAAAATCCAGTTTTCCGCCGTTTTTTTCAACAAAAATGAACAAAAATACAGTCTTTTCAAAAAATCGCACAAATGGCTCAGTGGGATTTTCGCCAAATTCCACTATCAATCTAACGACCCGAGTTTGAGTCCTCGTGGTGGCAAATGTTTATTGCAAGCTTTTTTACACTATTTTAGAGCATTAAACATCCAAAAAAGGCGCCAAATTCAAAAATTCGTCTCCCCTTCCTGGCTTAGCGCCCACGCTCTTTTTGTAAGACTCCAGAAGACGTCAAAAGTAGAATTTTCAGATTATTCAAAATTCTAGAATATTCTATGGAACATTTCCTGTCGATCTGTATAATTTTCATTAAACTTGGTCCGGTCATTCTTGAGTTATAGCGGTTCCAAACGCGCTCCATCGAACTATTTGCCCACGCTCTTTTCGCCAGCCTCCAGAAGACGTCAAAATTGGAATTTTCAGAATATTCAAAATTCCAGAATAATCTATAGAAAATTCCCTTTCGATCTAGATACTTTTCATCTAATTCGGCTCAGTGGTTCTCGAGTTACAGCGCTTACAAAATTGAGTTCAACTTTTGGCAAGCGCGCTCTCTTTTTGTACGACTCCAGAAGACGTCCAAATTGGAATTTTTCAGATTATCCAAAAATCTAGAATATTCTATAGAAAATTCCCTTTCGATCTGTCTAATTTTTATCAAAATCGGTCTGCTGGTTTTTGAGTTATAGCTCTTCCAACTTGGTATTAGCACATAACACCGTTCAAACTTGGAATTTCGATTCAAATCAAACAGGAGAATGTAGAGCTAGATAAGACCTACGGAATGATACAAAATGTAACCAAATTTGGTGTCATTCTGTAGCTCTTACCTAGCTCTACATTTCCCTGTTCGATTCGAAGAGAAATTCCAAGTTTGAACTGAGTTATGCCTTTCAGAAGCTTCTAGATGTTCTACGTGGCAAATTTTTAAAGGAACATCCCCTCTTATTCTGTGTCATCTCATCAAAATCGTCGAAAATCAAACGGGCGGCACAAAACCCATTATACAAAGGGACGTAACCGAACACCACCACCCTACCATCCCCTCCCATCTCATTTCCGAAAACGATTTTCATCTCTTTCCCTCTTCTAACTCACGCCGACGAAGACGACGTCGGATTGGAAGAGGAACGAGGAACATATGAAGGACACATGCAATGCTTATTATGCGTTTAGGTTGGGAGAGGTCATTCTTGTATTTAGGTAGTTTTTCCCTCCCTCTTTTCTCGATGATCCTAATTTCCAGGGAGAGGACAACGTCTTCTGAATACATCGTCCCCCTCAGAAAGTACATGATATGACAAGTTTGGAAAAAGAAGAAGAAGAAGCTGGGAAAGAAGAATATTCCCATGGGGAAGCAACGCGCGCGCGGGAAGAAATCGCGCAATCATATACTATGTGTTCTACACTAATCGCCTATTCCCCAGTGGGAAAACCTCCAGGAAGCTTCCGGAAGGCATGAAGAGCTAGATGAGAGCTACAAAATGGTACCAAATATAGACAAATTTGGTATCATTTTGTAGGTCTCCTCGAGTTCTATATTTCCCTGCTTGATTTATACAGAAATTCCAATTTTGATCAAGTTATGCCTGGTAGAAACTTCCAGAATCTGCTTCCATCCACCCTACAGGTTCTGGAAACTTCTACCAGGCATAACTCTGTTCTAAATCAGAATTTCAGCACGAATCAAGCAGGGAAATGTAGAGCTAGATGAGAGCTAAAAAATGATATCAAACATAGCTGAATCTGGTATCATTTTGTAGATCTTCTCTAGCTCTATATTTCCCTGCTTGATTCAAATCGTAATTCTAAGATTGAGCTGCGTAATGCCTTTCGGTAACCGCTTTCTTCCAACCTAGAGGTTCTGGAAGCCATAATTCAGCTCAAAACTGGAATTTCAGCTCAAACCAAGCTGAAAAATGTAGTGCTCGATGATAGCTACAAAATGGTACCAAATATAGTGAAATTCGGTACCATTTAGTAGCTCTTATCTAGCTCTACAAAATGATACCGAGATTCACTATTTTCGGTATCATTTTGTAGGCCTTATCTAGCACTACGTTTCCCTGCTTGATTTGAGCAGAAGTTCCAAGTTTGAGTTGAGTTATGCATTCTAGGAAAGCTTCCAGACCCAACTTCCTTCTACCCAAGATGTTCTAGAAGCCATACCAGGCATAACATAGGATATTACTGTAGATCCTATGGTCCCTGCCTCATCTATCCAACACAAATTAAATAGAATATTTGACACCCTGTATCCCGCTGCGAGACGCAATATGCAAAAGCACCTGCCTGCCCTGTCAAAATGGCATTGCAAGGGGGTGATCAATCATTGTCTCCTTGTCAACACTCAAGCCTGTATATAACAGGCACCAGATTTCTAATAAAGTGTGATAAATCGTGTGTATGATTTGCATACATAACTTCTGCTCCCCCCTAGAAGACGTCAGCCTCTTCGGTGTCTTCTTGAACACACAATATGGCCTTGTCGAGTCGCCTCTCTCTCTCTCCTTCAAAAGATGTGTCAAGAAGATCCGAAGAACCTAACGGAAAATGGAAGATCGGGTCGTCGAGATTCGAGAGATGAGAGGATGCAAAAAAGATGTGGGTCGCAAAAAAAAAACAAAGGAAAACATCATGTACCTGGGAACAAGAGAGGATTAGCCTACTTTTTGACATTTAAATTAGTCTTTAGAGACCACCGCCGACAAGTTGTAAGTAGCTAGTGAATGGGGTCTCGAGGGCAAAGTTAAATGGGGAAAAATCCACGTGGATCGGCTCTACAGTACTCCTAGAACTTCTAGCTTCAGGCTAGTCATTCCACATGGATCATATGGTGAGCTAGAAGTAGAAGCCCAATGCCACGTGGATTCTAGTAGGACTGCTAGTAACAGAGGTCTAGATGCCCTTCAAGTAAATGCATGTGTTTTTGGACGGCTCTACAGTACTCCTAGAAGCTTAGGCTAGCCAAGTCACGAGGATGGTAAACCTAGCTAGACCAGCAGAGGTCCGATGCCACTTGGATTCTCGGAGGACTCCTCTTAGGGACTGCTACCAACATAGGCCTAGTCTGGGCTAGACCGACTTGATGCCCATTAAGCTTGGCCACTTCAATCCACGAGGATTAGGATAGGACAGCTCTACAGTACTCCTATTGACTTCAGCTTCCGGCTAGTCAGCCCGCGTGGATCCTATGCTATCCTAGACCTACATTGCTGCTTTAGAGAGCAATGCCACGAGGATTCTAGGTATAGATACCTGGGAAACCTGGCAGAGACCTAGATGCCAATCCACGTGGATTTCTGTAAAGTCTAATTGTCTTGGACGGCTTTACAGTACTCCTACTGACTTCAGCTTCAGGCTAGTCAATCCCTGTGTGCCTTTAAAATCTCTGTTGCTTCAGAATTTCATCAGACGACGTCTCTCTCTCTCCGGAAATCTTCAAAATCCCCGTTCTCCTCTTCTAACTCAATCAACACGCTAGATTTCACAATGATGTTGCGTCTCTCTAATTGCGTATTCATGGAACATCCTTCTGTCTGTCCCTACGTCCAGATGTCCGCAGGCCTCAAAATGATGGCTTCCTGTGGTTCAGGGGCTTCCAAAAACGACAGACAAGCATTCCTCTGTCTGTCTTTGTGTCCAGATGTCCGCAGGCTTCAAAATTCTGACACAGAATGATGGCTTCCTGGGGTTTTCTGACCTCTTCTCTAGAGAATCTAGAGGTATGGCCCCCTCTATGATTGATCGTTTTGCATAAATAAATATCATTGAGTAGGGGTCATCAACCCGTC